ATATAAATATATGAAAAATTGATGTGGGTACTCAAATGAAAGGTTTTGATGAGTGTAACATCGGGGATGAGCTTATATCTTTAAATATATATCATATATATATATATGTATATATGAAAATATATAAAAATGCATGTGGGTATTCAAATGAAAGCTCTTGATGATCGTAACATCGGGATGAGCTTATATCTTTAAGAACGTCAATATTTAAAAAAGTAAATTGCAATTTAACAAAAGTCATTAATTAATAAAGCAAAATTTTATTTATTAATAGTTCACAAGTCACGACAGTTACATAGTGACTGCAAGGTTGCTAGTAATAATAATAATAATATTTTATGTTTAAAATTTTTTTAAGAAATTATTATTATTGTAATTATTATTAAATGATCATTATGCTTGATGCGTAGGATTACAATTCATCAAAGACTGTCCAAAGGAACCTCACATACCAGTTTACATGATAGTAGGTGGAACATTGGGTGGAGTGAGAATGTTCTGGGCCTTGTACTCGCAAATTCGATCAAGGCGGCTTGAAATCCTGAGTGTTCCGAACGCAAGCCCGCACATATCACCCATGCAATTGGTCTCTATAGCTCTGACGTGCTTCCTAACCGTCTGGTTCGTATTAGGTGAGACTCTCTATGCCATTACTCAGATATATATCTCCGATATCGACCTCAAGTTATTTATGTCCTCATAACTCATCTTACATTTATTCACATTATTTATAGTTACTTTTTTATTATCGAGCAATACAATTTTTTATAAAAAATAAGTAATAACATTTTAATTTATTTTATAATAAGTAATAATTAATCAATTGAAAGGAATTATAAAAACTGTTAAATATAAAAAAAAATTCTCTATCAGTAGACAAAATCCACTTTACTTAAAGTAATTATTTAAAAAAAAAAAAAAAAAAAAAAACAATCAAATAATCTAATCATTAATCGGGATATTTATCTTCCAAGACCTTAATAACATCGCGCTTAATTTAATTGCTCGTAGAGTAGAGTCGATTTATCTTAGCAGTTCTTTACGTTCGAGTCGTTACTCCAACACTTTCTAAGTTTATCTAATTAATTTTATTTTCATTAATTTTACTCAAAAACCTTCATTATTTATTATAAATTATCAATTATCAATATCACTGTCCTCTTTCTCTCACGTTCAATCATTAATTCCCGGTGGACTCAGGTAATTATTGGATTCTGAAGATCAGATGGCCGGACTTTGAAGCTAAAATGTTCGATCCGGATCACTGGTGCGCCAAGACTCTCTACATCTTTGCGGTGGTCCATCTTGGCGTAATATACGCAGTAATTGGCGTCAGCATCGTCACAGCTCTGGGTTTGGCCGTTTGTAGAGTCCTGGCTTGTCCTTGGTTCGAGAGGTAAGTTATTTTTTAATATATATATATATAATAATTTTTATTTTATTTGTAAATAAAAGTAACTCAATAAAAAAATATTTAAAACTCGCGGTCGGTGAAGTTAAAACAAATTTATGAAGCTCGGGCCTGTTTAAGTTCAAAAGTTATCGTCATACATATAACGTTATTCAATAATAAAAGTGAGACATTTTTTAGAATCTGAATTTTAAGTTGAAAAATTTTCATAAACTACTTTATAAGTACGCTTTACTTTCCGAGTTTTAGAGGTTGCAACGAGTATGCATTCAAATTCATATATAAAATTCTTTTATGGTTTCTTGGATCATCTGAGATATTTTTTGTATTTTTATGAAAGTAAAAATAATTATTAAGGAGTTATTTATTTTAAGTAAATTATAAAAATTTCATTATAATTAAACAAAGTTATTAAAACAAAAAAAAATTTTTTTTTACTCATACATAAGTCTTGTAATAATTATTATTATCACTGAATTTATTTTTGATAATTATCAGATCATTTCAAGGTTAACTTATTGAAAAATAAATTCTATTAAATTCAAAGATATTAATGATTAAAAAATTGATATAAAAAAATATTTACATGCATATTTTTATCATGTAAAAATTATAAATTTTTTTAAGGTAATTGAATATAAAAAAAATCAATAAAAAAAAATGTCTGATGTTACTAAATGACACTACTTTTTATTCTAAAGAGCTTTAGTTATCGTAGACTTTGAAACTAAAAGAATTGAGGTATAAGATATAGGATAATATAATGAATGAACCTGAGGCATGCATTATTTTTATTTTTTTATTGATGATATAGATATAAATAACCACGGCAGTCGGTTCGCTTGAGGGAATGTATTGGCGAAAGAGCAGCTGGTGCGACTACCAGCGATAGTGGCTCGACTAGACGACTAAAAAGAATCTCTTTAGACGGTAGAATCATTCGGGAAGTTAACGAGGACGATGAAGAGGAAACTCTCTGTAAAAAACACGACCTGGAAAATGATCTCGTAGTTGTAGTCAACCCTGGGAATGACAAAGTCGTTGAAATTGTCCCAGAGATTAAATTTTCTAGTCGGGTGCAATTTCGCGCCCCTGAAATCATTGAATTATAATAACAACAACAACAATAATAATAATAATAATAATAATAATAATAATAATAATAATAATAATAATAAACAATAAGTGACTAGTAAGTATATAACAATAAGCTTAATAATAAAACATTTTTTTTAATATTAATATTTAAAAATATATTGATATAATTAATAGTAATTGTAAGTTCTTAATATTAAAATTAATTAGCTTAAGTACATTTTTTTTTTTACTAAAAACATAAATTTTTGGTTATATAAAAATTGTAATTAGATTTTTGACTGATTCTCTTATCTGACTTTGTGCTTTCGTTATATTATGTTTGTTTAGAATATAATATAAATTCATATATGTGAAGATATATATAGACGTGCGGCGCTTAAAAGGTATGCTGGGAACTGCATTGTTTTACATATTTCCACGAGTGTAAAGATGTTCTAGATTTTCTTTACAATTGTAATCGCGAGTTGATATTTATTATTATTATATTGTATTATATACATCTGTAATACGTATTCCGTTTGATCTGATGACCACATGCGCTTTTTAATCTAACTTCTTACTCGCGCTAGCTTTTTACTATTGACCTTTTACAATGTATATTATTATTATTATTATGTACAGATGTGTAACTTTTACGGGTGGTGTATATGCTAATGATATGATATCTATATTTATCTACACGGAAGAAATATAATATGAACTATTGCAGTTTGAAATACACTCAAACAAAATTTTTTAACCAAAAAAATTATTAGTAAAAATTTTTTAGTTTATGTTAATTTTAGGAGTTTGAATTAAATTTATTTTTTTAATTTGAAACTATTAATTTTTCAGTTTTAAACTGCAATAGTTCGTGTAATATTTTTTTTGCGTATGTATGGTATTAGTTCTTTAGAAATTTTGAGGAATTTTAAATTGATACCAAGGCGGAATTTTTTTTAATTTTAGTTTGTAAGTTTAATTGTAATTTAAAAAATTTTTAATATTTATCAATATTATTAGTAACAGATAATTTTAATTTATAATAAAAATTTAACACAAATATAGTTGAGATTTTATTTTTTATTTAAAGTCGACAGAAAAAAAAAATTTGAATGCGGGTCGTCTTGGTATCAATAAAATATACATTGTATGGAGAAAAATACTTATAAAAGATTTTATTACATCAAAATTTACCAACTTAATTGTAATAGTTTTGATAAAATTAAATTATTCGCGATGATTAGTTGACGAAATTTTTTTATGAATTTTACAAAAAAAAGCAACGAATTTTTCTTTCAGCAAATGCTTTGATTAATTTTTTTCTAATGATTGTTGGTAAATTTACCAAATACTTCAGCAAAAAAAAGTTTAAAAACAAAGAACCCTATGATATAATAACGTCCAAATGTGTTATCAAAGTAAAAGAGTCAATTAAACGTAAATAATCCAGTAACATAGAATAATAAAATATATACATGTAAATTAAAAACTAAAGATATTTTATCAAGCTTCACTAAAAAAGTAGCTTATTGAAAATATATCGAAAAGATAAATCATCAACTACTGATAATTATAAATTATGATAAATGAATGAATGATGAAGATTGAATAGTAAATAATTAATTTTAAGGAAACATTTATGTACAACAAAATACTCTTTTATCTCGTAGGGACCTGACCAAAATGTCTTACACTAATAATTCATTTTTATCATGCGAGTAAAAAATTATCGGATTGAAATTAGCTGATGGGTAAAGAATTCTTTTTGAAGCGTTCTTATTTTTTTTTTTTTTTTTTATATTGGATCAAGTTAATTTTTGTTACTTCTTTTTGTTTGTGTTTGCATAATATGTGGAAATAATATTTATTTTCTTCTCCCTAAGATTGGAGAGTTAACAATTGAAAAAAGCCATTTATTGATCTTCTGAAAATTAAAAATTTTTCTTCATATATAAACAGATATATATATATATTTAACATACATACAAATTAATTTAAATGTATGTAAAAAATTATTAATATATTTTCGGGAAAAATATAAATTAAGGACATAAATTTTTTGTTTTAATTGTCTGCATGTTTTCATACATGTTAAGCATAAAAATTTTTCCCTGGAGAAATAAATAATAAAAATTCACATTAAAAATAATAAATACCACCAAAACAACTTAATTTTTTCAGAATCCCTCGAGATTTATTTCTCATTACAAACGGCTCAATTTAATTCTCAGTAAGACTTAACACGAAGCAAAATAAAAGTATATCTGCTATAAAAGTGTACAGAACCTTTACTCGGTTCTATTTTATAGTAAATGAAATGAGAATCCCGATAAGCCGCTCACGAGAACCCGCACAGTGTCGGCGTCTACGATAAAAATAAAACTTAAATTTTAAATAAAAAAAAAAGAAAAACAAAATAAATGTACAGACGACTTTACTTTCAATTACTCTGTTTATTCTAGATTCTCGATAATCGTGGGCGTTTGCCCTACTTATCCCTCAATCTCTACACATGTACACTTAATAAAATGCACATACATACACACAATCATACAAACTGACTCAGAGAACACGTGACGTTAATTTTTCATGACTTTTAATTTACCAAAAAATTCTGTGATTTAAATTTTTCATGCTTGAATAAATTTATTAGTAAAAATAGTTGATGATTTTTCACCAAAATTCTTTCGGTAAATTTTCGTCCATAAATTGAATTTATTAAAAAGTATTCATATTTAATAATAATAACAAAAAAATGAATGAATAATTTGACTAACAATAAACGGTGCTAATGAAAAATTTAATTAAATAAAATAAAATAAGTAAAAGAAAAAAAAATAACAATTAACCACTGTTACTTTGTCCCATAGTTTAATTAGTGTAAGAATTTTGAAATTATAAAAAAACGTTGCGTGACAAAAAAATTAACGATATAATTAATTTAACCGCATTGTTACTGTCGTTCCGCGAACAAAAAATTGAATTATTTTTATACAGCAATTATTGAAAAAAAAAAAAAAATATATTAATAATAATTAATTAAAACTAAAGAAACTACTAACGTGATCTTTGAATTTATTTGGACAAAAAATGAGCATTAATAATATTTATTAAAGAGTGAAAGAAAAAAAAATTGATATGACGCGTATGTTTGGAGTTCAGATGCTCGCTTTATATTTTTTAGATGTTATAAATATATAAATATGTGGTGGATAATTCTATTTGTGGTGTTTAAAGTTATGGATATATTATATCATAAATAATATATTATGTATTAAATTAATAATAATAATTATAATAATAATAACGAAGGCCCGTTGACCGTAAACACAATTGGTGAAATATTAACGGGCCTCGGAAGTAATTATGGTCCGGGCTTTAATCGTAATGCACGCGACGAGCTGACATATTTAATTAAAATGTTTCACACTCGTTCGTTCATTTATTATTAATTCATTCATTAAATGTCGACTTGAAGAGTGCAATTATCAATTATATATTAATATTATACATACAAGTTGGTTTTGGGTTTATTTGTCGTTATGTAGAGATTATAAATGTCTATTATAATAAAATTTTTAGGGTAAATGTTAATGTTTGTATTGAATAGTATTAAATAGTAAAATTTATTGTTTTTATTAGTTATTGTAAGTAGTAAAGATTTTAGAGGTAATTTTTTATATTTTGAAATTAATCCTTTTTTTTTTTTTAATTAAATTGTAGAAATTTAAAATAAGAAGGCTTGAGTGTAATTTATTAGTTAATATTTATTGAAACTGAAGATTTATTTTAAAAAATTCCATAATTTTTAATCATTTAAATTAGTGCGCAAAAAATAATAATGCGCTTATAACCTTAACGAATTTTTTTATTGATCAATTTTTGAATTTTTATAACAACTCGGCCATCATTGAAATTAAAAAAAAAATTCCTGTTATTTTTAAATATGAAATTAAAAAAATTACGTAAAATTTTTTAAATGGGTCCAACCATAAGAAAAACTCATTAAAATTTCAAACTAATAGAATTCGTCTCTAGTAAAAATTATTTAAAAATCTTATAATTCAGTTAAATTAAAATGAAAACTGTAAAAAAGTAAAACTTTTATATTTTAATTGAATAATTTCTCATTAAAAAAAAAAAAATAAAATTGTAAAGATAAATAAAGGTCTAGAAAATTTCTAGAGTTACAATAATATATTTACTGTCTTTTAAATCGTAAGGTGAAATATGTAACGAATTGATTAACAATGACATTGATAAGATAATCCATTCAACATACAACACACAATAACATATATCATACGTCATATAATAAATAATGTAATATTGTACTGGAATTAACAGACATTCGATATAACGAAGTGTAGTTTGAAGTGTATATGCTACTGTTTTCATTAAAAAAATTGTACAAGAAGAAGAAATAATAATTGTAATATCAATAATAATTAACTCACATACATACTACCACAGGAATATTATGATTAAATAATAAATTAAGCAAACAATAATTGTAATTATTTAAAGTATCCAATGGCCATCTGATAAATTATTAAATTATAAATTGTAAACTGTGACCTATTTGTAATGCAAATAATGGTAAACAAATCTTATTACTTATTATTATTAATTATTACTATAGAAAATATTTATTAATTATGCCTACAATAAATAAAATAAAATTGTCATTACTATTTATTTTGTTATTTATTTAATTAATAATTCTTTATTAATTAACATTTCCCTCATAAATTTATTTTTTTTTGTATTTATCAAAAAAGTTTCACTTCTGACATGTGTACTTTGTACGCAGGCACTTTTTTTTTAATTAAATCATTAAATCATTTTTTTAATAAAAAAATTTTTTTTTCGTCAATAGAGGTAAGCATAAACTTTAATATAATATCTGAATTATTGAGATTGATAACGAATTAAAAGAAGTCAAGCCGAATGACAAAAAAATACCTTTGAAAAATATAATACATAATTATTATAA